TGCTTAGTAAAAAGTGTCCCATCTACCCACCTTTCTCCCATTTTAATATTCACCATGATAAGTAACTTCACTATCTCTTAATTATTATAAAACAAAGTAAATACATCTAAAATCCTTCGCTCAATTCTATCCACTTTCCAAACTTAATTGGATCTTAAGGATTTTCCTCATTTTCTGGATTGGGATCATAAGATCCTCCACCTCTATTTTAAAATAATCAGAATTTACATTTGTTCTCCTTAAAGAAATGATTCCCATCTACCAAATTTTTTACCTTTAATATATTAACCACTCTAAGTAACTTAACAATCGCTAATCAGATAATCTTAAATAAATACTATTCACCATTTCTAAATTCTACCCAATATCCAATTTTAATTGAATCTATAACACATCTATCTTCTGATTTGTGATCATAAGAACCACCACCACTGTTGGAGAATTAGAAAAATATTTTACATATGTTGAAATGGATCAAATTGATCTTTCCTCTTTAAAATAACCCATTTACCAACCTTTTGATTATTTTTATATTCACCGCACCAGATTGTTTAGTTGTTACTAGTAATTTAACTTTAAAAATACTCCTAAAAACCTTCAGCCAACTCAGTCCATATTCCAACCTTCTTTGAATTTAAATCACCTCTCTCCTTTTTCCAAACATATGATCCTCCTCCACTAATGTTAATATTACTCAATATGAATATACATAAATCTTAATTCTTTCTTTTTATAAAAGATATCCCATAAACCAATTCTTTCTCCGTCCAAATACTCGCCACAATAGGTTACTTAGCTTTGACTGATTTTTAATTTTAACTAATTGCAATACTTCCAAAAGTCATAAGTCAGATCAACCCATTTTCCTTTCTTCCTACCTATTTAATTGTAAGATCCTCCACCTCTACATTTATCGTAAAAAATAATACATTATTTTATTTTCATATATATACTTCCATTTCTGAATTCTTAATCCATTTCTGTATTCTCCACATTCATAAACTTAATTTTAACTTTAATTTATTATTAATCTTTTCTATACTTTGAGTAATTTCTGCTTAGTTCTTTCCAAAAACCTTGCTTTAGACCATCCACAGAGTAATATCCACCAACGTCTAATAATTAATCTCCATTCCAAATAGCACTCCATTTAACAACTTTATTATGACTCTAATTGTATTATCTTGACCATAACAAATATTTGATCTATTCAATATTATTCAATTATTCATCCCTATTGATATCTTTATCACTATTTTCAAACTTTGATAATACATTCTGATAATTTATCCGTCCATAATATATTTAATATGTTTCTCTTTGGTAAGAAGTATTTAAAATGTAGTTTTCACAAATCTTTCTTAGTTAGAGTCCCAATATGCATAATTATAGTCCTTAACTCTATTGCAACAACAACATAAATCCTTTCCCTAAAGTTTTATAATAAAATCTCTCACCTATTAATTATATTACTTATTTTTCTTCTCAGAATCATGAAATGCATTACAAACTTAATTGCAATCTAATATATAATTCATTTTGTATTAAAATTAATATTACGAAGAAAAAAATTAGTAAATACTAATATATTCTGCAGTTATAAATATTATGTAATTTTTATTGAAATTTCCATTTAGTCTGCTTCTCATCCAATTGTTTTTGATACTAATAAAAATGTAACAAAAATATTATGTATATTTATTTGAAAAGCTTGAATAAAGATTGCTAAAAGTATTAATTAAAATTGGAGTATCTGGAGTGCATTTAATTATTAGTTTAAAGATGGGGAAACTTTTCGAATGCTATCCTTTCTAAAGCGATTGTTATTTAAGCAACATACTTGATTGATTTGGATTATTTTTTGATAAAAATTTACTATTTGTTTTTCTCGAAATCATATATTACAGAATGCATTTGGTATTGAAAATATCAGTTTGTTTTTCCAAAATTATTAGATGGTCAAGTCTATTCTAAAAAAAAACATACAATCATGAAACTTTAACAATTAATACATTTAATAATTTATCATACATTTAGGTATTGTTAATGTATATTATAAATCAAAAACATTAAGTTAATTTTGGTATATAAGCCTTTAGAACTTGAATCTATATTCTTCAATAGAACAACCGCGTTTCCAAGATCTGTTTATTTGAAAAATTAAGAAATTAAAAATGTAAGTAATAATTGAAAAATTCTATAGAATAAATTCTGATTTTTTCATTAATTATAAACACATTTTATGATGGCAAATATTCTCAAATAGTTATGTCTAAAGATGTGAATTATGAAAAAAAGAAATTTAAATATTTTTTAAATCATCAGGTTTTTGGACAAATGCAATCCTGACTTTAATTAACAAATAAAAAATGTATTCTTTGGCCTATCTTAAAATATATCTATTCGATTATTTTATCTCATTATGTTCATCATAAGTATAATATTTCAGATGATCAACTAAACGATGATATATTATATTTTTAATCAATAAATATTTTCACCAAATATGGCATAAAATAGTAATTTGAATTCAACTTTATTAAAATTTTTAAGTGATATGAGTAGTGTTTACAAGAAAGAATTTATTTTCATATTAATTATATGGATAAAAGTAATGTTTATAGTTAAATATCAAACCCTATAAACACTAATTAGCACATTAAGAAATTTTAGTTAAAGCCTTAAAATGTTAATACATAAATAGAAATTAACTTAACATATATATCTTTAATCCCAATTTTATTCTTAAAAAGAAATTCAATATTATTAATATTATGAATTAATATAATGATTTGATTATCAAATGCCCGAATCCAGAACATGCCAATAATGTGAAACTAGTCTGCTTTGATGAATCGTGTAAAGCTGATAGATTATATTGTATGCATTGTAGCAGGAATGGAATACATTTTTCTCATCCTCAATATCAATATCAATTGTCAAATTTGTTTGATCACATAGAGAAAATTGAAAAAGAATGCGATGATTTAATCAATAGGTTAAACAAGTAAATGGATTTTGTTTATTAATCATTTTATCTTCTAATTGGAGGAATAAAAACTAAATATTAAATATCTAAAGAATAAATCTTTAACCTAAATTCCAAATAAATAAATTCCATTTTGGCTGAAACTATCTAATTCAAATCATTCAGATCCACAATTGAAATACTAATTCAAAAATATTCAAACGAACTTTAAGATTAAATATAAAAGCTATTTTAAGACTTAAATTTAAACTAATTGAACTATTATCAAGTGTCTGATTAAGATATCAAAAAATCAGAAGAATTATATCAAAAGGGTATGAAAAGTTATTATTTAGGATATAAATTATATTGGTACGATCACAAATATGAGGAAGCAATAGCAATTCTTGATTAAGCTTTAAGGTTAAATTCTAAGCATCAATTGGCATTGTGGTGCAAAGGTATAGTCATAATTTTATCTGTAAGCGGAGAGTTTAAAGATGCTGGACTAATATAATGAAGCTATTATCTGGGCAGATAAGGCTTTGCAAGTTGATCCAAAGCATTTCAATTCATTATATACAAAAGGTATAAATATTAATTTCTTTTAGCCGAAAGCTTAAGAATGCTTGATCAATATAACGAAGCAATTATTTGGGTAGACAAAGCTTTACAAATTGATTCTAAACATTGCAATTCCTTGTTTACTAAAGGTAGAAATAATTTTTAGTTTAGCTTCTAGTTTAAGAGGACTTGGTTAATATAACGATGCAATCGTTTGGGCTGATAAAGCCTTATAAATAGATTCGAAGCATTGCAATTCATTGTCAACCAAAAGTATTAAATTTACTAATTTTTTTTAAGGTGTTTCCTTAAGAATGTTAAAAAGTTATGAAGAAGCTATAGCAGTTATTGATTAATCTCTTTAAGTTAATCCGAATCATTTGGACTCATTATGGTCAAAAGGTTGAGAATATATTTATATATATATAAATAGGTAAGTTACTACAGGATCAAAATTAATATTAAGAAGCTTTGATGTGTTACGACAAGGCATTAAAGATCAAAGAAAATCATTAGTGGACGAAAGATAGGAAGAGTAATATCATTTTATTCTACTTTAAGATGAATGTCTAGATGCTATAAAAAAGAAATGAAATTTAATCAAGAATATTTCAGATTTTAATTTTTCATTAATTTTTCGAGACTTTGATTTAAAATAAAAATTACATAATTTTCACTAAATGAGAATCTAAAACTCAAAATTGTGAATTTATACATATGACCTCGTTCTTCAGTTTAGTTCAGACGAAAACAATACTAATACAAATTCAAGGATGTGATTTGATTAATTCATTTATAAAATAGCTTCTATTTATGTTGAGACAAGAATTTAAGTTTTTTTAATTGTTAAGATATTAATAAACCTTCTAATGTAATCATAAATTATTCAGTTTAAAATGAAATATTTAAAAAATTTTTTGATTATTAATAATTTTGAAAATTCGAAATTTTGACATAATAGCAATATAATAATATATTAATATTTGTAATTATCTAATTATAATGATTGAAAAAAAAAAAAAATTACAATTTATAATTTGAAACCCAATTTATTTTCTAAATCCTAAAGCCTTGTTCTCCAAATAAATAGGACAAGTTTTGAATAGTAGAACATTCAAAATATCAGCACAGAGGAAATAATAAAGACATCCAAATTTATGTTTTTTCTCATAATATAATGTATTATTGTTATTAAGTTAAATAATAAATAAAACCATTATAAATGTTTATTTAATTATATTTTATA